TGTTCCAGGGCACCTGCGAATCTGCAAGCTCACAGCTGTCAGCTAGACCTGACTCATTGAAATTCGAGCTTACCTGCTTATTTATCGGTGGTCAGTTATAGTCCTGCAAACCCCCTACCCCTCTAGCTTCCAAAAAAACTCCTACTATTAGCTCCCATTACCTCCTAATGCATTGTTTGTCCGAGGATCGTCTTTTGAAAGGAAAAGAGTTGTGATATTGAGTAATCTCAAGCCCTCTAACTTCCGCTGTTTTTCTTCCGCCTCTTCCTCCACCCCCCCCCCTAACTCACTTTTGTTCAATCTCAATAAGCTTATTATTTGGTGTTCAGGAAGTGGCGTATGCAACTCACAGCTGCCATCTCAACCTGAATCATCAGAGCCTAGCTTTTTTATCCCGCCCATCTGCTTAGAACTTCCCTTGCCAGGCTTTATCTCCCCCCCCCCTATAAATTTCGCGTCTCCATTGTCAACCAATTTCGTATAGGAGAAAGTTCAATTATCATGAATATTATGGAAATTTCGAAAAGTTTATAGTCGTCCTCTTTCAAATACATGCTTGTTGGGCGATCTTGAAATTGAACTGGAGCAATCCCTTCGCGGTAGAGCGCGGCACCATCCATGACGAATTATGCTGATGGCTAGAAGTGCCGTGCTCTACCGCAACCGGCTTGATCCAACTGAGATTCAAAATTGCCCACTAGGATGAGGACCACTATAATTCCACAGCTTTCCCCTTTCTTTATCCCTCTTGCTTCCTCCCCCCCCCCCCCTCACCCTACCCTCCACCTTCCCGAACACTCATGTAACTGCGATTTTTTGACATACCATCAATCAGCGCATATGTTGCCAGAGTACGAGTATTCACGTATCGAATCCGAGAAACGTGTAGCTTCCCAAGTTCTTATGTGACACACGCGCTCTTGGTGTACAACGTCTCTCGAGGGGATTCCACGCATCCAGCGCTTATCCTACTTGTCCGAGTTTTACTTCCACTCTTCATTTGACAATATTCTTCATTTTCTGACTATATATATAGTAGTTTACTTGCATGTATTTCAAGCAGAAGATGTACTTACTCTGAACTCTTCAGCCTGGGTTGGTTTCAATAGATCATAACCATGGGGCAGAATAGCTGACAGCTGTCAGCAATGTGTACTATCACGAGAGCAAATCATGCGCTATTGACAACAAAGCTAAAATTTGCACTTTTGAGCAAAAATCGCAGATTTTCTGAATTTTCTTATGACTATCACAGATTTGAGGCACCTGCGATTTTTGATTCACTTGATCCGCTTGATCCACTTCATCTACTTCGCTATTGGTCAAATAAGTGAACTGACCAATAGCGAAGTGGATGAAATGGATCAAGTGGACATCCGCGTCGCTATTGGTCAGTTCGCCATTTTGACCAATAGCGAAGTGGATCAAGTGGATCAAGTAGATCAAGTAAGGCGCGTGCCGTTCAAAAGCAATTTGAGATCGATTTTGGTACTATTTTGGACGAGTTTACATGTCGTATATTCATGCAGTCGCATCCCGTAAAAAAGCTAGCTTCTTCAAACTCATCATTAACTTTGACGTGAGACTCAACCTCATGAAATTTTAGCTTGCATAGCTGTAGATATTGATCGCATCACACCTGATGGGCGTGGCCTGAAGATTGTCCGATTTCTTTGACTTGTACCATAAAATCAATTTTCTGGCACACTTTCTTGGTTCTCACATAACTGTGCTACTAAGAACTACGCCATTAAGCTGGTTATTTAGTTGATTTTACGACTAGTTGGCGTGACTTAATATATACAAATTTTTGGCTTTTTCACTGGATGTGGAAACTCGTCCATCGTATCAGTTTTGACGCTCCTGTGTGCCACGATCCGATATAAAAATACAACTGAAATCACGAGATCTTTACTGTTCGGTTTACCTACGACGTTTGGCTTGAAAGTTGTCCGACCTTTTTGTTTTTGCTAAGCAAGGAAAACTCGTCCGCGCAATCATTTTTACTTGGCACGCCTTACGGCCCCCGCGATAAACAGTATATTCTACTGAATTTATGCCACTAAACTCTAAACTGGTATGATTCGTTTTGCACCTGGTAGGCGTGGCCTAGAATTCAACATTTCGGCTTCGTTGCTTGGTACGAAAAACTCGTCCGTCGTATTGATTTTTTGGTTGATACTCCCTAAAGCCATGGTCCCATGTAATTGTACCACTGAAACCAAAAAGATTTTTTTGATCGGTTTTGCACCTAGTGGGCGTGGCCTAGAACCTGTAAAATTTTTTAGTCTTTTTTGTTAGTATGGAAAACTCGTCTATGGATCACTTTTGCTTAGCAGTCCCAAATGCCACGATCCAGTACATCTGTACCATCAAGACCTTGAGAAATTATCGATCCACGCTGTGATGGGTTTGGCTCGAAGATTGTCCGAGTTTTTCGGCTTTCAAACTTTTTAACGAGACAGCTGTCAGCAAACTTGTACTACGCTATACAAGAGCTATGAGATACACAGACTTTAGTGTTGCTTTTTGATGTTGGGAACTTGTTTCATAATAATTTGTACGAGTTGTCTGGAGTCAGCTTCCCACAATTATAAATAGGAAGTGTCTGGCCTTTTTCTTGAAATTATAGGATGTTTACTATTAAGTTTGATTTATGCATCAAAGAGCGCCTTGTAGAAGTTCTGCTAGTAGTAACATCGTAGTAACCGCCCTGTACAATATGTGGGCGGGCCCTGACACTGTACGAGTCTCACTTGCACAGGTTGGTGGGCGGGACTGCCACTGCGCGAGTCTGGCCGTCATAGGCACATATCTTTGTTGATAATTTATTCACACATACGGAAATAAAATCTGTTTTCCATCTGGGATTTTTGGAATTCTTCCAAAATCAAATATCAAAGGTTACCTAGGTACATTTGTGCATTTCCGCGAAATTTTTAACACTCATTCTTTGACATTTGAGCCCCTCGACAACGCGTTCCAGATGTCAAAAGCCAAGCTGCCATCGAAAAATCCGGCTGACGTCAAGCTGACTGCAAATTTGCGTTTGTTGAATGGATAAGCCAGATTTTTCTTCGGTTGCAAGCGTCAAAGTTCGGCAGATTTTTCTTCTCAACGTCAGGTCTGCAAAAAGCCATAGACATCCTGTTTGAGAGCATTCGGTCACGTTTAGTCTTGGGCATAGGGCTGGAAATAGACCTTGCCATGGCACCTTTTTTGAGCAAATATGCCCATGGGAAACACATACTTGCAGCGCGATGGATTACGGTAGTTTAACTATGTGGGCGCGCATGAGTTGAAACGGGAAATCCGATAGGAATTCTTGTTTTTTCCATAACTTCCTTTACAATCATGAAACTCAGTAGCTAAAAGCGCTTCCTTGCCTTTTAGCTTTTTTATCAGCTTCTCCGTTAGCTCCCAAATATTTATTTTCCATCAAAAATAAGATGAAAATGCAATAATCAAAAATGGAAATTCAAGAAGAGTTTCGACTTATATCAAAAAACTGCAACCATAAAATTCATTAAAGAACCTAATATAAAGCTTCCTCGCCTTCCAGTTCCATTCCTCCTCTCTCCACACCTTCTCATTTCCATATTTTTTTTCATCCATAAATAGTGAACCCATAACATAAAGGTGCTAGATCTGCAAGAGCGTTCGCTGCGGGAGCCGCGCTTTCCCGCAATTTTGCCTTTCTTGAATAGACGCAACGATTCTTGAATATCTAGACTACAACAAAATGCCTTTGCAAAGCATACAAAAAGGCCAGAATCAAAAATGTTGAAGATATTCATATTTTCCGGCTAAATTTAGAACTCAAATCCTTCAAAATGGCAAAATAACGATCCTTAATTATAAAAAATTTCATAATAATGTCATGCTCGATATTTGATAAAGGAAAAAACTTTATCAATTTTTTGCTTAGAGGGGAGGGGGGGTTGGAGGCTGGAGGACTGTTGTCAAAGCTGCTAACTTTCCCAAATCCGAACGAATTTGCCCTTTTACACTTGCATCCGTCCGTGCAGCGCTAACAATTTTGCTAATGATCGCGCCAATACGCTAATTTTATTTTGGCCCACAGCCAATATTTGATCTACCCCCTTGATCAAGTAACCAAATCCGTTCGATGTTGTCTCGTTAGGCTACAATTCGATTTCATAGGCAATTTTTGCTTATCCACATCCGCGCTAATGTCTGAGCGTCAAAAAATCCAATAGGACAATCAATCTTTTCCAATTCGGAATGGCCGGACGTGCTTCAGTGCACTTCCGTTTTTGGACTCTCAAAGTCCTTTGGGATTTCAATAGGGATGCTTCTATTCTTTGATGGAAAATTCTTATCGATTCTCCACAAGTTTACTGGCTGTGCAAATGTTTTGCTTCTTTTGTTTCGAGAACTCTAGGCGCTTTACGCTTTGAAACAAAAACAGTATATGACTGAACAGTTGCGCTTGTTAATAACTATTACTCACGCAAAGCACCAATCAATATATCGATTGACAAATGATCATTGATTGGCGCTCATTCAACGTGTGTACTTTTTATAAGAATAGCTCCCGCACTTTTGAAATCACTACAGCAAAACAGGGTTGAAATCTTTTCTTTAGTCGATATATCGATTATTTCGCTGTATCAGAGCATACGAATGAATGCAATTCGGAACCCAATTAGTTTTCCTCATTTTAATCGATATATCGATTTGTAGGGGCTGTGTTGAAGTACCCGTTCAAATGTGAGTCATCATGCTCTAGGTACTTGATATTGAAAACTGACGTATTTGTTCTAACCGGGTGATAGGTAATTTCTGTTCCAAACCGATCAATTATCGATCGAGTCACCAGCGTTCTTTGTGGATCAAGCTGGAGTAATGCGTATATAGTCATATGAATTCTTTCCTATACAAGAAATGCAGGAAAGGAATGATTATCGATTGTTTGCAATCTTCGTCAAAATCCCTAAAGTTTTATGTTGGAAGTAATCGATTATTGATTGATTTAGCTGATCTTCGCCGGCGAGTACACAAAGGCGATGAACAAGGATTGGCACAGTGATCATTTTTGCTGTTGGCAATGTGATCAAACGTTAACTGGACAAAGGTCAGCTTTTTGTTTATTGATGTCCTGTCAGCTAATCGATATATCGATTTTTAGGTATATTATGCGAGATGAGCAACCGTATTGCATAAAATGTTACGAGGACGTGTTTGCGAATCAGTGTGATGAATGTGCAAAACCCATTGGAATCGATTCAAAAGTAGGTTTTTTAGATGTTGACGTCAATGCTGTTAGAGCACTGACGCGAATGCCGTTAGAGGAGTGTATTTGCAAGTGTTGGCTTAATGGGCAATTGCAACAAAAAGTGCAAATATAAACGAAAGAAAGTGTAAACGGAAAAATAAGCGAATCTAATGGATATGTACTTTTCGTGATTTCTTCAATTAACGTTTTAGAGCTTTTAATGGTGGGCGTGGCCATATGTCTTACTGTATTTATTGAGGGGTCCCGTTTGGATAAGTTCAATTACCTATTACAGTTTTTAGCACGACTTCTCACTTGTAGCGAAGAGGGGGAGGGGTGGCAAATTTTTTCAGACTGACTTAGTATTTCATATTTTTTAATCTCTTAAATTACCACATGTACTCGAATAAACAAAGTTACAGAATACAACAATCTCTTTCGCAAAAGTTTATACTAGTTTTTAATGATGAATGTTTGTGATTTTTTTATTGAGAAATTAGAAAGAAGGTTACAAAATATAATAACACAAGGAGTCAGAGATTTATTGTGAAAATAAATTGAAGAGAAGTAGATTTCTAATTTTGTTTTTGCTCTTACAAATTTATTTTCTGTGACATTTTACACCGTAATGTAATTATCCAAAGGCACAGTTATGCAGCGAATATTTTTTTTACAAAAAAAAAAACGCGGTGCGGGAAGTCAAGCATCCATGTACGTCACTGGTGACCAGTTTTTGCTTTTCATGCTCACATGAAAGAATTGTTTTTGGGGCGCTGAATCACATTTATGAGGCCATAAATTTTTTAGCTTGCAATGGGACTGATTTTTTCCGGAAAATTTTATTATGCATCTGCATTTTTTTTCTGTGGATGGTAAATTCTTTTGTAGTTCTTGGAACATCCTATCCATTTCTGCGATTGAAAACGCAATAAAAATCTAATGAAAATTTTATATACCTATTTTCCATATAAACTCGCAAAGTTTTTTGAAATCAACTTAGCCACAATTAAGCTATCTCTCTCTCCCCCCCCTCCTTTTATTCGTTTCACTCTCCCTTGGGAAAACTTCTTAACCTTTTGACGCACTTCACTAAACTCCAAACGATGAATGCACAAATTTGAGCGCAGTTCATCCAAAGTGACCTTTACATTGCGCTCAGTACAGCGATTACTGCAGATTTATGTGTGACCAAACTGCGACGGGATTTTTCGAAAAAAAAAAATTCGTCCGAAAAAATTGCGTTTATAGCACGAGTTAGGGTAAAATTTATAGCTTGTTTAACGACTGTAAAGAGTGATTGCTCCTTGGCGTCGCTAATTTGTCCAGTCAGTTGAAATGCAAAAATTGCCGTGTTATTTTTTCGTCCACTTATGAAGATTAGAGTAGTCCAGAAAGTTTAGAGTGTAAGAGAGGAAAGAATAGTACAAAAGACAGTCTTATAATTCTTTTTGAGTTTGGTTTTAAAAATCGTTCTTAAATCAACCCTATGGAATGCAGAAAGTTAATATTGACAAGCTTTTCTTTCCTAGCATAATCTTTGTTTTTCAGTTTGCATGAGTCATTTTCGTGTTAGGACATAGATTACCGTAACCTGGAGTAAATATAGCACATGTGATTCGAAGTATTCTTGATTTGATGCAAATAGTTAGTTTCTACAACAATAATCCTTGAGACAACTCGTAATAGAGGCAAAAGTCAAATATAAAGGCCAAATCATCATCATCTGTTCAGTCATGTGTGGTGTATCTCACTGTATGGCTGACTAACAAATATTATCTCCGTTTCTCATCCAATAGGTCTTTTATAGCCAAATCATTTATATTTGATGCCGAATTTGGATGCTTGGGTTTTCTATATGAGTAACTGAGGCATTGTTCGTGTGACAACTTGTATGATTCATTTGCGACCGAGAATCTCAAAGCTCGCCCAGTACCGTAGTTTATGCGCGCACCAGTCTTGAGTACGGTCTGGGGAAATGTGTAAAGTTGAATATCTCGGTCACAACCGAATTTTGAGAGATGCATGGGCCATTATTAGGTAAGGGGCTCTCAATCTGAAAGTCCAGCTACCCATGATTGGACATTTTCAAGTGGGGAGGAATTAGCTGAACAACAGCAATATTTCTTTAAAATCACGAGTTTCATTTTTCTTGACACGCACATGGTTTTTTTTTCATCTTTTTTAAAAGCATAGAACTGTTAGCAAATTCACAAAGAGCGCAGCGATCCCAACTGTTAACCGCCCCTTGCCACATCCATCTTTGGCTTCGGCTGTTTTATACTCTTTGGAGAGACTGTGTCTAATGGGCAACATTTGAGATGTAGAGACAAGCATATGGGGTATGTGGAGACAAGCATTCCAATATGTATTGAGAGGGCACTTTTTACTTTTTACTCAATTTTTCCACTTGAAATTAAAAGCTTTTGATGACTGACCACCATTACATAAACTATTACCGTAATCGCCTCATCCAAAACAATCGAATTAAAACTTGTCATAAAAGAAATGCATTATTGTTCGCTTAAGTAACGCAGAAGCAGGTTTTTCTTACGGAAATGGACTTGCACTGTCCTTATCCGCATTGGAACATTTTGCTTAGGTACTTAGCGCATAAATTTCATTGCGTTCGTTCATTCGTTGACCTTTTCTGACGCAGCGGGAACATTAACTTCTGCTGAAATGAAAAGACTGGTTAGCATGTCGTGCAGGTTTTAACGTACGACTCAGCAAACACACTTTCAGTCGAACTCTTCGACAGCGCGCAAGATGACCGCGGTAAGTAGTTCCGTTCTTTCCAGGAACTTTCATTAGAGTTTCAGCTATGCGAAAAATGCGTATTGATTTTATAATAAGCCAACACTTGCGATTATCTTCGAAAAAGTAGGGATAAGGCGTTACCGTAAACTTACAATAAGCCAAAGTAATGCTCTCCCCATTCACCCGAGTCTCACTCACTTGGAAAATATGCGTATTGATTTTAGATGAAATCAACACTTACGAAGATCCTCTTATAAATAAGTAGGGGTAGCGCAGTACCGTAACCTCACCGTAATTCAAAGCAGTGCTCCATTCAAGTGAGAGTCTCATACTTACGTAAAATATGCGTATTGATTTTATATGTATTAAGCTAATACTTGCGATTATCTCCCCAATAAGTAGGAGTAAGGCACCATCATAATCCTCCCGCATTCAAAGCAATCCTCTTTTCATTGATGTGAAAGTTTCGGTCATGTCTAGAATATACCTATTGATTTTTTACAAGCCAATCCTTGCAAATGTCCTCTCATGAAAAGTTGAGATATGGCAATACCGTAATTTTGCCGTAATCTGGAATAATGTTTCCCTCATTCAAGCGCCAGTCTCATTTAGGGCAAAAAATGCGCATTGATTTTATGTGGAGCAAACCAGCACTTGCAAACCTCCCCTGATAGCAACGTCCATTACCGTAACCCTACCGTAATCCAAGACAATGCTCTTTCGTTTCAGGACCTTTCATACAAGGACAAACACTGGCATGAGCATTGTTTCCTATGTAATATGTGTAAAATCTCCCTTGTCGACATGCCCTTCGGAAGTAAGAACGATCGGATTTTCTGCTCCAATTGTTATGATCAAGCATTTGCCACACGATGTGATGGATGTAATGAGATATTTAGAGCAGGTGAGTACGATATCTATCTATATTCTATTCAGCGCCAACGAAAAGACAACTTCTTGTTTTTCATAAGTACAAGTAAACAAGTGTAAATGTTCTTTTCATCGCAACAAAAAAATATGCAGTAGAGAAACGTGAATTTGGTGGGAAGAACTGTGCGAACTGAAACTGCATTGTCCAAACAAAAATTCGCACGCCCTTTGTGCATGAATTTTAGTCCGATACCGTGCTCCGTGAGTGACCAGAGTTCTTGAGCACGGTACTGGGCGAGAGTTCGGGGCATAATTTTTCAGCCTCGAATAAACGTTGTGAGCTGCTCCTTGGGCACAGATTGACCTAGGAACTTCAATTTAGTGGCCACATCAAAATTGGATGCTCAAATTCACATATGCCTAAACGCTGCATTCAAATCTCTTGCTGTTACTGTAGTAGTAGGTAGGGATGTGTGAACAATTTTTGGAGTCATGGAATGCTCTTCAAAAACTCCTGCGTAGAACTCTTACTTTTTTACAATTTTCACAGCTGAAAAACCTTACTGCTGTAAGATCCTCGTTACGCTTTTTCATAAAGTAAAATTTCTTTCGAAATTTGGTGCCTTGCAACTGGTATGAGGATTCTGAGAAGATTTTTGAATTTAAATGATTAATAATTGATAATGATCAGATTTGAATTGTATTATAGATGAATTTTCATCAAAGAATATATGACGATTTCTGAAAGGTATTTCGGTGTCATTTGAAACCGTGCCAAAAGTTTTGAGAACTCAAAATGTTATCGCTTTTGTGACCAACGATGACATCATGGCTATGTCGTGAAAAATCAACGATACTACGAGCTCGGTTGCGCTTCAAAATGAAATTTATCGCGCTTTTGGTGTCATCCGTGCTAGCCACATAGTACATGCGATTAGCATCGGGCATTCTGAAATAGCCGTAGTCCATAGCTTGTCCGCATTGTCAGCACTCTTTACTCCCTTACATTATCATATGTGTGGGCGGAGCTTGCATTTTACACTTTGCAGTTCTAAAAATTTTCTGTTTCAGGCATGAAAAAGATGGAATACAAAGGAAAGCAATGGCATGATAAATGCTTCTGCTGTGCACATTGTAAAAATCCGATTGGTACAAAATCGTTTATCCCGAAAAACGAAGAAGTCTATTGTGGATCATGTTATGAAGAGAAATTCGCCACCAGATGCAATAAGTGTAAAAAGGTGAGTCAGACAGAGTACTTTTTTCTGAGGATTTCCGGATTCGGGGAGCTAGATTTTTCGAAAACTTTTATGGTATTTTATGAATTCATAAAAATGATGACGAAAGTGAGGAACTGCAAGTGATTATTTTTACAGGTAATAACAACCGGCGGTGTGACTTATAAGAATGAACCATGGCATCGAGAATGTTTCTGTTGTACACATTGCAACGTATCTCTAGCAGGTTAGTTTGACGATTCGTGGAGTAAATTTTGAGTTCATGAACTCCCATCCTTTATTTGCTTATCCTAACATGTGCAAACGAGTTATAGCTGTTCGAAGGGGGAGACTGTCGAAAGACGCGCGCGCGTCGCGTTCGCGCCCGCTCAATTAATACTGCTTCTCCGCCTTCGTCGTGCAGTAACTACATTTTGGGCACATGGCCAATATTTTTACGGCGTTCAAAATGTAATACGAGAGATCGAGATCAGAAACATATTCTATCATGACTATCACGTTTAGAATATATTTATTTTGCATTGGTCATGTGGCTAACTTGATAAAAATGAGTTTGAAAATATTTCTTTTATTCTTTGCTAATATGCAAATGACAGCTAAGGGTATTTTTGTGCTTGTGTGCATTTGCACCAACAGCAGGTTAGGGCAAAATGAGCCCCCTTGCACGGCGTTGACTTCTATAGCGTGACCGCGTTAGCTGCATTGGTAAATCAAATCACGAAAAAAAATTTCTTCCTACAGTTCTCATATCTTTGTGCGTTTTTTGTCTCCCCTCCCCTCTCGTACCGCGCAAATTCTGCACAACTCTTGCAAAATGATTTTTTCTTAAAATTTATGCTGTATCGATTTCAGGTCAAAGATTCACAAGTAAGGACGAGAAACCATACTGTGCAAATTGCTACGGTGAACTATTTGCGAAACGATGCAATGCATGCACAAAACCCATCACTGGTAAGTTACCGTAGCCCTACGAGTGTCGGGACCGCCCATCTACTGTGCACGTATTTAGGTATCGGTGGCGCAAAATTCATCTCCTTTGAAGATAGACATTGGCATAATGATTGCTTCATATGCGCTCAGTGTACAACGTCATTGGTAGGAAAGGTGAGCATTTTTAATTTGAGCTAATCGATATATCGATTGATGGTTTCTTTTTCAGGGATTTATCACCGATGGCACGGATATTCTGTGTCCGGAATGTGCGAAAGCACGACTAATGGCCGCAAATTCATAACCTCCGACTATACTGACGTGTGATCCCCAATACTCATTCATTCATTCATTCGTTCATTCATTCATTTTCTTTGCGTGGCATTTGCTTTTTGAATCCGTACATGTGTTCAGTTCCGCCTCGTTTCATTCATGTTCTGTTCACATATTCTGCAATTTTTCGTAGCGTTAGTGACATTTTGTTACTGAATTCGCCTCGCGTTATCGCTGCCCCTCTGCTATTGCAATTTCTATGAAAAAACTGGAGACAGACTCGACCCGGTAACTGTTTTGTCAGCGAGCAACAGCAGGCTCCGCCCTCAATATGCATTTTCATATTTTCAACCCTGCAGTATACGCATCTTAGCCTCTGAAAGGGTATATTTTCATATTCGCATTTTTTTGTGAATCCAGTAAAAACACCAACATGTCTAGTCACTCACTTTCCATCAATCCCCGTGGAAAAAATTCCCCCCGAAAATGTAGGTTTTAACTTTGCCCAATCCTCAAATTCTACTCTCGCTTGTAGTAGCTCTAAGCCCCGCCTACCCATTTAGCGTGTCCAACAGAATCACTCGCGCAACTGCTGGACGAAGAAAACTCGTCCGGAAAGGTCCGAGTGCATTTGAAGCACATCGAAGTCAGTGTGCGAGTTCTAGTATACGGCGCTAACGACACGTCAGGCTCAGCAGCGTAAACTCGTCCTTCCATTCTGTTTCTAACTTGTTCAGCGCAACGAGATTTTATATGTATATACATTCAATGCTTTCTCGTCTGTACACCATGTGTTCAAGTTGGCATATTTTTTTTCTTTATTCATCGTCGTCGTGTCGTTTTCGTCGACACGCAGATATTTTTTTCAAGTCATTGTTATAACTTAATAAATACAATTTAACAAAAATACGTTTTTCTTACAAAGTCGGTTATCCCGAGTTACAGTGGGAGCTGGGATTTCGCGGAAAGTTGAGGGATGCATTTCTCCCCCCCCCCCCGCGTTTTCATTCGCTCTTGAAATTTTCCTGAGTAAGTGTTGCGGAACTTCTCCAAAAAATCGTAATGTTGCGGAATCTCAGCACTTGCCTCACTTCAATTGGCTTTGCTCACTAAGAACCTCAGTCATAGTCATTAGAACCCCCTCAAGCTAGCCCAAGGCACTAAAAAAGCCTATTCAAATTGACATTAGCTTAAAAGAGGAAACGCTATTAAACATAATATTAACGGTACGGATTTACTGGAACGCGATGGGCTCAAAGGTTCGTTTTTTCACCTATATGGTCTCGTGCTGCTAGCCTTGACTAATAGAAGACAGAGTCTGTGAGCAGACTCTTAATGGTGTATTGTATATATTCAAAAAACCTATGATTTTCGTTTAAACCTCTGAAGAAGACGAGACAGTTGCAACTCAGGTCTGATAAAGAATCCACAACAAACCGGGTGGAGGACTATATGTCGCTGAAAAAGGGCGGTCCCCGCGGTCATTTGCGACAAATACGCACCCTTGTACATGCGCGGACATGCGTTCCTGCAGGGAATCCGCGCGAGACTCTTCCAAATTCGGCGACATATAGTCCTCCACCCCAACAAACCTGATCTGGCTCAAGACGGCATAGCACTGATGGTCGACAAGATGCCCTGGTTTGGAGATAAAAGAGCATTCGATCTACTGAAGATAGTCTGCTGAATCGAAAGAAGCAGTGATCATACACATACTACAAAATATCAACAAGCTAGGAGTAAATAAAAGAAAATTTGTATGTGGCGTAGAACATATCACTCATCAATGAAAAGTGTGAATGATGCTAATCCCCAACAAGCGTTCGCCGCACATGCTTCTTCTCTTTTTGCGACAAGCGCTTCCTTTCGATAAATCCGGAAGAGGAAAGGAGGCTAAAAAGCACATCTGAATTTTTCCTTTTGAACCACCACGATAACGAAGTAGTAAGTCCAACTGCAATTCAAAAAAAAGTAGTTTTCTCTCTTCTAAAACATCAACTTTGCGATTCTTAGACCAAATTATGAAATCACCTTACTTTGATGCTTCAGCTTACAACCACCTTTAATACACTGATGACAACGCCAATTTTTGATTGTCTGCCTATTGGGACCAAGACCCTTCGCGGGCCACTCAGCATTTTTTTACACAAAATCACACATATTGTCATTAAGTATACCTAAAGTACATGCAAAGGTCTCACAAAGAAGATAGAAGTCATTTTAAGATTCACAGCAAAAGAAAAATTCTGGAATGAGTTTGTAAAAAAATTGGTCGTCTTTTTAACGAAGTTCAAGCCCTGAGAAGCCATATTTGTCAAGCAGTTCCACGTAGTGCTCATTATGTGTTAAACTTGATTACTTTGATTTCAAAACCTGATGTGAGGAAAATAATGAATTTGATTTTAGTCAAACACTGGTACGACACTAGTCGTAAGAGGAAAGAAATTCTACTCGAACGATTTTTTTCTTTTTCGAAAAAAGAACTCGATCAAATAATGATGATTGTTGGAGGAGGATTCATTCATAGGTAGACAATCAAAAATTTGCATTGTTGTCAGTGTATTTAAAGCGGTAGTAAGTTAGCATCCTACCGTGAGGACACATTGAACACATAGAGCATAGATCATGCCATTAACTTATAAAAGTTGTACAAATGCGTTGGAAGTCTGCCAGTAGAGGATACGAAGACAGCTGGAAGGACGATAGATTACGTGGCGACTCAATGGCTAAAAGGATGCCAGGCTTCTGCCAGTCACGCTACAACATGTTTAGTCAAGTTAGGCAGGATATGATAGACACGACATTATCCGTTTCATTTTGTACTTCACCAACATTATGTGGTCACTCGTATAGGTGAGTATTGAACACATTTTTCTAAGGTTTCGACCATACATCACCAACAGTGTTATCACTGTTATGTTGTTCATTTCATCCGTTCCTACCATTTTTGCAGATGTTACGCTTCAAATAAAGACCTTGCAACTCCCTTTATGCTCTCAATTTTTTTTAACTGGAAGACATTCGTTCCTCCCACCCACCTTGCAAATTTTCCCGTCTCCTTTACTAACCCCCTAAGGCCCGGACACTTCACGCGATTTGATCGTCGCGACTCAATCGCCGACATTTCCATTCATTTTTATTTCACATTCAAAAATTTCGGGCTGAAAAGTATCACAACCGAAATGCAAGTTGATCCGCATGGAATGATGTTGTAACAGTTGTCTCGTCGCGATTCGGTCGCGACGATCAAATCGCGTGAAGTCTTTCCGGGGCCTAAGGCCTCGCGCAGAGTTCACGCGATTTGACCGTCGCGATTCAGTCGTTACAAGACAAGTTTAATAGTTTATTGCGTGCCGATCTTCCCGTATTTCGGTTGTGATAGTTAGTCACGATTAGTCGTGACTAAATATCACACGCGTTGGAAAACTATCACAACCGATTTACAAGAAGATCGGCACACAATAAACTCGTAACACTTGTCTTTAGCGATTGAACCGCGACGACCAAATCGCGTGAACTCTGTTCGAGGCCTAATGCGAGCCCTCCTGCATAAGTAAACCTGCAATATGACTCCCTGAGTCCCTGAGTCACCGCATCCTTCCCACTGCGAAGTTAAAGTGTAGGCACAAAACCGTGGAAATGATTTGTTAGCGCCTAAGGCGTCGGACAGAGTTCACGCATTTGATCGTCGCGATCGATCGCGATAAGACAGTAACAATATCATTGCATGCCGATCTTCTTGCATTTCGGTTGTGATAGTTTTCCAACATGTATACTCGTGATCAACTATCACAACCGAAATACAAGAAGATCGGCATGCAATAAACTCGTAACACTTGTCTGTAGCGATTGAATCGCGACGATCAAATCGCGGGAACTCTGTCCGAGGTCTAGTACTCATATCCATTGGAAGGTGCCAAAAAGCAATATCGGTAGAAATTCTCACTGTATCGGCTCACAAAATAGCTTATGTTCTTCTTCGAATCGAAAATGTATATGCGTTAGGTTTCAACTCACTCGTCCTATATGACACATAATATTTAACAGCGTATAGGTCCTTCATAAAATTGTGACAAAGGCGGCGGCTGCGCGCGTCGCGTAAGCAGTCCTGACAATGCATTTTCTTTGCTTTCTTCTCTTTTCTGTGCATTTTTTTGCATGTGTAGTTAGCTGCTGGACACTTCAAGTAACTGAACTGAGCGCTAAGTGTTTAGATTTTATATGCTCTTGTAACGCTTAGGTGGGCAAAGACAGCAGTCGGATCCATCATCACGAAGCCCCATGCTTACAATTGAATTTTATATACTAGGCTGATCACAATTGATGCAAGTTTTCTACGATTTAACTTCGACTCAAGATTTTCTATTTGAAAATCTCCTTCTGAGCGCAGTGAAGACTACCCCAAAAAGCAAGCCCTTGACTATACAATTTATGTTTATGTAGAACTGTTTCTAACATAGCGACTGCAAAAACTTTCTTGGAAACCTATGCTTTGAGAAACCAGAACTTACCTGAACCGTAGGATAACGCGCACTTACTCGTATATAGCCAATGGCCGAATAAGAAATGGCACCAGACTCAGGTTTTACGGAATTCTATTAGGGTTCGTGAGTGTAGCAAAAGTTGGAAGTATACACTTCCTTGGGCAGATTCAAAAAATTGCTTTTTGATATTCTTTACTTCACTGGAAAGTGAAAAAAGCTATCGTTCTAATACTACTAAATATAGAGTCTAACCTCAAAACAGCACTTTTGGCGCTATATTAATTACTGGCAACGAGTCATGTCTCCCCACCTTCCAAGCGCAGTGTAAGTGGTAGAGCTGTCGCCGTGCAAGGTATGAGTCCTATGTGTGGCCTGTAAATCATTCCTCACTGCGTTTTCGTCGTTGCAGAGAAACTCCAAAGGACTGGCAGTCCTTAATTATTTCTGCGATGACAGACATAATGAGAGCGTTGTTGCGCTATATAAACAGGTTATTCTGTACCTTTAACATGGGAAGGCAAGCTTTAAAATAGGACGTTCAACCATTTGCACGATTTGTTGTATATTTTCGAAGTCAAAATTTAAGATTTTCAGATTCGCGAAGAATCAAAAATTATCGAATCCGAGTTTTAAAATATTCTGCGGATCCCGGGCTTGTTCACACATATAATTTCCACATTAAACATTTATATATGCAGCTGCTAATTTGTTTCGTGGTTGATTGAACAAAAGAACTCAAAAACAGAGATATGTTGCCCTTTCCGTGATTTAGCTAGGGCTTCTAAAAGCAAAAAATTGTGTTACACTTTTAGGAAACTGCTACGAAATCATTCATGTAGGAACAGCCCAGCATCTTGTCAAAAGTAGACCTTTTTTGATTAATAGCCATTGAGAAATACAGCAATTACATGATATGTTGATGTTCTTATGCCAATACGAGGCTTGGTGAAGCCTATTATTAATGCGATATTACGTTTCGACTTATCGTCGTCTTCAGAGGACTAGAGTGGTGCGAGATTTAGATTGGATTTAATTGATTGATTAGATTCAATTGGATCTAATTCGAGATTTGGATTGACATAACAACATCAACATATCATACGACATGCCGAGGGTTCAAGAAAAGAGGACAATAAAACTACAGCAAGTTACAACCGATAAATGCGGTCATTTTATGCGTGAGCAGTGAGAAATCTAAAGCGTTTTTATGGCCTGAGATCATACCTTCGATAGTCTAGAGACAGGGCGTCAAAAGTGAAGGTTGTTTGAAGATCTGACATCATAAATAGTGAAGGTTGTTCAAAGATGATCAAAGAAGAGAAAAAGACATAAAACAGATGTAAAAAGCAAAAGAAACTGCTGAAAACCGGATAAAAACGTTGCAATGAGGCTTGAAATCCTTCATTTGGCTTTCAAAGTGCAAGTTTTCGTTTCAGGACCAGCAATTCGCAACACGGGGTTTTGATTTTTGATGCGTCCTTTAGATTTTTACCCCGCATTGACGTTCCTGTTTCCTGGGACGTTGTCTGGATTGTTGCGCTTATTGTTCTGAGCCATAATCGCCCAAGTTGGAAAAAAATCGATGCGAAAGCACTAAAACAGAACAAGGTAAAGAAAGGCGGACTTTTTACGATCTTTCGCAAAAATTCCACCATAATCGAAGAGGTAAGGGCTGGGTGGTTGTCTGCATTATGAACAGAAGCAAGACCTATAGAATGCACGAAAAAACCGCGTGAAAATAGTTAAACTAGGAGAAAAACAAGAGATTTTCGAAAACAAGGTTTTTGCCGGATTTCTCGACCAAATCAAAAAATTTGGTTTTGGGACGTTGTCAGCGTGAAAATAGAGATCAAGAGCTTCAAAATGATATATAGCTTGCTAAAATTGGGCTCGAAACAACGAAGAAAAGGGTACCAGAGCCAAATGCCCCGCGCCCCGCGTTTGGGGTAGCGAGGTAGCGCGCAGCGCGCGGAGACGCAGACGAGCAGCGGAGACAGACCAGAGCCGACGGGGCATTTGGCTCTGGTCGTAGATCTCCGCGGAGTCTCAATGAAACCCTGCAACATTATATATCATTCTCATCGTCATGACACGACGAGGAGAACTGACAACGTCCCAAGCTTTAAAAGTCACTTACTAACGAGATAGAGCAGCATTTTCCGGCGCGACTTTCTGCTCACATTTAAGCGCAGTTTCTCGTTTTAATTCAACTCCAAAAGCTTTCCTAAACTTTTGAAACTCATTTTTGGTCAAGTAAGAGGCTAAGTGAGGAACGTTGTCATGAATTCTGAGGAAACTTTCACAGAAATTCTCTTTTCAGCGTAAAAAGGCATTTAAAAGAGCAATTTCTCGATTTCGCTGAGATATTCTTCATATATTCTTTCCTATATTTGGTTCATTCACATTCGATATAGTCAGAATAGTAACATCCGGTTCTTCGCCCCGGATGATTTCTATTTTTTTCCCAGGTGAAGGTTGTGTCCCCTCATAGCCCTTAAAGTGAAGGTTACCAGAGTGAGTGGCTCTATGTATCGAGGGTATGCCTGAGATAATTCTTTTCGATTCTCACATTCAGACCTTCTAATACTTTAACTTAAACTCCATGTGGATCAAATTTGGAGAGGCTGTTAAAATGCCATCTCCAAAGCTCGCTTTGCTAGATTGAAATGTAATGTAAAACTACTTAGAAGGTAAGAATACGACTTACTGCGGTAAAGAGTCAAAACAGACATTTACGGAACAACCAGTGTTTAAAACTTTGCTCACTCTCTGACACCTATTACCCTTTGTTTCAATGGGAGTGAAGGGTGGAGGGCAGAGCTTGAATCGCTGTCTAAGCCCAAGAAATGATTAGACAAGCTCGCGAGAGGAAAGCACAGTCCAGAGCCCCACCCACCGCACGCCACCAATACAGGGGATATATTGTATATCAGTAATCATTAAAAGGGAAGATGCGAAGGACAATTTGCCTTCCAAGCAGCTTTACAGATGATACTCAAGCAGTCTAAAATATCTCTTACTTACCAAGGTAGATTACTGCTTAGTACAGCATATACTTCGTTTCCTACTCAATCTCTTATTGCGCGTAGTCCGTAGGAGAACCCTTAACTATTTGCATAGTGTCGTAGTCAAAATAAGAGTAAATAACTGAAAAGCATGCGGATCCATATACCCTCAAAAACCAGTGAAACTGCATTTTTTTGATTTGTAAAATTTCTCGACTACATTGTGTTCCGTATGCAGACATGGTAGGTTCACGAAGTTGTCCACCGTGTATCTCTTTAACGCCTCTCAAAGATGAAGATTCGCATTACTATTGGAATGTTTGGGAGAGTTTAAAGGTCGACTAATCGGTTGCATGAGCGTGCCTTCGTACTAATTCTTCCAGTCCTAGACCGACTTGGATATCAAATTGATTTTGTAGGTTATGCTCAAGGCATCATGACTTATAATAAGCGGCTTAATCTGAAGTTGTGTGGAGTTTGTCCGTTACGAAATTACAGTGAGGAATGATTTACGATACTAAACATCATGACTTATAATAAGCGGCTTAATCTGAAGTTGTGTGGAGTTTGTCCGTTACGAAATTACAGTGAGGAATGATTTACGATACTAAACATCATGTGAAGTTAAGATAGCGAGTATGGTTCATTTTTAACTAAGGCTCTCAAGCTGCAATCAACCGAACAATGATTTGAGAGACAATCTCAGAGAGTGAGTTTATCACGATTCATGATGCCAGTGCGGACCTCTGCGAAGCAGAGGTGAAGCACTGGTTCTTCTATATATGCTTAAGTTTCTGGCTAATTTTACCGTGACACTGCTTCAAATAAGTTGAAGGGATCTAAGCGCACTCGGTAGTTTATCAGACGTAAAGTTTGACTATCGTCTGAATGATGCAAAGACTAAACTATTTGCGAGCGTTTGTCGACTTTGTGTTATTATGACTGATAATAGAAGCCAAATTTATCATTAAGTTCCCGTTTGCTTATTACAAATTTCGTTAAATTTTGTTTCAGCATGTCGCCAAAAACAGCTTTGGTCATTCTGGCCGACGGAGTAGAAGAGATGGAAGCAGTGATTCCTGCTGATATTCTGAGACGTGGTGGAGTTGAAGTACAGCGTTGCCTATCGCCCATGCTACTTGTATTACTTATTGTTGCAGGTGACTTACGCTGGTATGGATGGAGCTGGAAAGGTAACCTGTTCGAAAAAGACGGTGATCACGCCAGATGGTGCACTGAACGACGTCAAGTCGAAGACGTTTGACGTCGTAGTCCTACCTGGCGGTTCACGAAGCAGTGTCTCGCTGGCTGCGGTAGGTTCAGAATAACTATGTTCAGTTAGAGCGAACCATAGCTCTTCGCCTTGCATACAGAAATTGGTCTGCGGGAAGCTAACGTGACCATCAGCAAATGGCCAACGAAGATGATCACTGATTATTCAGTAAAACTCGTGCATTATACCAGTCCTCATGCTGTAACTAGTCGATCGACCATTGCGAGGATGTCAGAGTGGTAGAAGTACGGTACCAGTGGTCACAGGCACGAGCGGTTTTCGCTTCTCCGGCGGTCCGTGAATGCGTCCGCCAGGCCCGATTAGTGGCCGTTTATCGGTTATAGTAACCATTGGTCCGGCCTTTGTGATTTGTTCGGTCAGTAACCGCTTGCTTGTACGATGCTGCATCGTGTGGTCGTTACTCTTGTATCACTTCTTCATTTTCATGAGAGCAACACCACAAGAAAAACCCTCTAAAAACAATTCATAAGACATCGGCACCTTTTTATTGGGCCCCGCCGTCCAGTGCTTTTCTAAATCGGCAACGGTAATCGAGTGTTAGATCTAACGTGGTCACTCCATTCTCACAATAGAATTTCGCTTGGTCGAAGTGGCGAATCGGAAGTAGATGTATACCTATGAATAAAGCTAGCTTAGAACGCTGATTCTAAATACAGCTTCTTATCTGCGAAGCGTTTTACGATGAGAAGTTATGGCTTTTTGTATTTATAATAGAAATGTGGTCTAGAAGGAAAATGATTGTGAAAAAAACATCGACGGACAACACTCGAAAAGTTGAGATGATATCTGATTAGACCTATTTATAATCTTATTAGGCGCTTTGCCTGGGCTTCCATGCTTTTGTGAGTTAGAAATGCACGAAAATTTGGTGTATAAAAAGCTCATAACTTTTTTCAGAGGATCACGCAGATAAAGGTATACCTGACATCAACGCTCATAGTTCTTGAAATTGTCTTAGTACTGCTTTGCCAGCACGAGCTTTGGGTAGAGCTTTGATGTCATCAGTGGCCTAACGTTTCGACTACTCGTCGTCTTCAGAGGCCTAAAACGGTGCGCAATTCTTTAGTCTGTCCCACCAGGTGCTTCATCAACCCTCGGCTAGCTTCTCGATCCCCTCTAGAGTTTGAAAAAGCAAAAATCGCAGAATGAGAAAGAGGAACAAACTTTGCTTCACACCCGGTGCACTTGATGTTATGGCGCGACCGTATCCTTGATGATAGTAGTGCCAATAAGTCACATTAAGTGGAATATTGTAGATGAAATTATCGCACTGCTCTGTCATAGCCCACATAATGATAAAAACGGCATGAAGTCATCGTAACGGCTAAGCACTCGTTTTTGTGTTCATAAGCGGTGTTTTGTGCATGCTTCAATATGCTTCGAGAGCTGTTCGAGCAGAGGTATCTTCCTCGTATGCCAAAATTGTATATTTGACTTCGTAGTCTTGCTCATAGTTCTATCCATGGGTATACATCAACTTTCGAATCGCCACTTCGACCAAGCGAACTTCCCTTTTAGTCTAGATATAAATATGTACTCAACGTAGCAAAAAATCAGCCATTTTCTGTGAATGTGAAAGTCAATAAAAAGGAAAATTTCGCGAGCTTGTCTAATTTTGAAACTTAGTCATGCAGAAACAAAGCACTTGAGGTGTTTCTTCCCTGAATACTCTTACATCCCAAGCTGATTTGCTGGTTTCGTCAGTGAATATTTGCATCATTGTCAAGTATGTACAAAGTCCTTTGAGAATGCTTTGATTTTTGAGCACGCAAGCGCACGCAGTCTCAGCAACCACCTACACTAGCTTCATCAGATCTTTATTCCAATTCTCATGGTAAAATTGGTAAAGAGACGAAGCAAAAGCAGTTTTAAATTAGAACTCGTAGCGCAATAATTTACAGAGCGAGGCCGTTGGTCAAGTGTTGAAAGCACATGCTACAGCCGGAAAAATCATTGCAGCCATCTGTCATGCTCCGATAGCACTAAAATCGCACTCTATAAAAGCTGCGTTGCTTACTAGCCATCCCGGTGTTCGTAAACAGCTTGAAGAGGGAGGTTTGTGTTCCCTTTGAGTTTCTTAAGAGTATCTACGATTCTTCCTTCCGCAGGATATAAGTACAGCGAGGATAGCGTGGTAGTCGCAGATGGTGTTGTGACCAGCCGTGGACCTGGAACGGCCTTTGAGTTCGCTTTGAAACTTGTCGAATTGCTTGTTGGGAACGAAAAGTCGAAACAACTGGCGGAGGCGATGCTTGTGAAGCTGTAAACTCCCGAAGTGCTGCCATAGACTGTGTAGGCTCAATGGTTTATAGCCTTTTTCATATGGTTTTAGATTTGAAAACTCGAATGTTCTGGTTCAAGGCATTATTCAGTTCTTAAAAACTATTGAATGTTGCGTTTAAGGTAGTATTCATGATTAGAGAAAGTCGTTTTTTGTTTTTCCAATTTGTTTACACCAAAGTACCCAAATAAATGGTTACACTATTGCCTTTTCAGGTGAGTGACTTAATTGGTAAGTAGTTGTTAATGACATATAAGTTCAATGGGCTATGGGCTATGTAGTATCTGATCACCTTGTGTTGACTTTACCACTCTTATGGTAAAGTCTAAGATTTGATGGCTGACCAGTCTTATGGAAAGCCAGTGGTGCAATTTGGTGGCTCCTTGTATAAACTAGTGTGTATTGTGTTACAATACACACTAGCTTATACAAGCTTTATTGAGACATCAACGTGCCCTCATTCGGGTAGTGTAGAATGCTGATCCTAATAGGCAAAGCAAAGCAAGGTAATGCATGTCAATACAAAGATATGACTTGAGGTCGCGAGTTGGTGACCTCAAGGCTACAAAGGAGTTCAAGTAAGGAGGATTTGATAAGAGTGGAAGAGGTACCGAATATGTCGACACACACCTATTTGATGATAAATGTGCAAGAGTCAACCAAAAACGAAAATTACCGCGAGACGAGACAAGCAAGACGACTTTTGGAATCGCACAATATATCTGCTACAACACTCATCTGCTAATGATGATAATCGGAAACTAACTGATTTAAGCACCGAAATAGAGAGCAGAGGAAGTGAGAACTGCTCACTCTCGATTTCCTGGCTTACTTATCATGTAGCTTCCAAGATCTTGCTTTGAAATTGGTAAAGAACAGTAGGAGTTACTAAAGTCATACGCCGCCGCGAAAATAAATCGGTTTTTATACTTATATGTACGGTGATCCTATTCCACACTGCGTGCATCTCCCGGCATAGAAGCTGTCATTTTCTCCTGTCCCTCGCTGTAACATCCACGATGCTCTTGGTGAAATATAATTGCGACCACAAGTTTCAAGCGCAAAAGTTGAATCAAGCTGATTTCTCGGCTAATTCATCCATTACTTAAACATCTTTGCTCATCTCTTAAGTTATTCTTCTTTCACGATGGACATTATGAGCGTCCATCCGTCAACAGTTATCCTCATGTTGTAGATGTCTCATCAATGACTTTCGCTACGTATTCCGCTGGGCCACGAAAACAAATTGTTCCTACGCGCTGCGAAGTCTGACAGGCTGTTGCTTACGTCGGTTCTTCAGAAAACTGCGATCAAGCCGTGGGATGCAAACCCTTCGTCATGGCTGTCGATTCAAATTAGGTCTCAACTATAAAAGAACGGTTGAGTCGAATAGGTGTTCTCGAAACTCTGTATCTAGTGGCGGTGGCCTTCCGGAGACCTAGCGGTCCAGACTGCTCATCTTCTCCCTCTGAGTTCTTCACTTCAAGGTCCTAGACACATAAAAGAATACTTCTGAGTGGTAAGTTTTTCGGGTTTCATTCCCACATCTTACTCTTCACGAACAGGATCCTTTCCCAATTTACTTACAGTGTGATGCTCAGTGTGTGAATGTTGTTATATATACATGTACGGACGAATGAGTCACTGTATGGATGCACAACGAATGTAATCTATAACTGGCATAGCGATATGAAAGGAAGGAATTCAGCAGTTTTCAGACGCCCGTTTTTGTTATTCATTGCTGGATTCTTCGCAGATATCCAAAACGCTTCTATCGCTTTCCTAGCCGAGGTCTCCCTTTCGTAATAGAATCTTACATTTGATGTTGAAATGTTCCTCTATATGCGCCTCGCATCTGTGCTTTCCTAGTGGTGAAACTAAGCTTTGACGCCTTTTATCTGCTAAGTGTTCCTTCAAGCGAATGCTGAGTGATCTTCCAGTTTCTCCGATATATGATGCTTTGCAGCTAAGACATTCAACCTGGTACACCACTCCCACTTTCGCGCAATCTCCTAATCTACCGTATGGGCATACCACGCGTTGCTCCGATATAAAACATTGGTCATAGAGCGTGTTACGAACTAACTGCACTTTGATGTTGTTGTTCGGAATATTCACTAAAACGATATCATCTTGCAGTTGTGCTCGTTGAATGCATTTTTGGAATGCCGCGCTAATACTATCAGAAATGAATGGAAGACGAAGTGGGAGCTTAGTACCGCATTGAACGCTGTTAACATTTCCAGAATGTCGAGTGCGTGGTAAGGAATGATAACCATTGCTGCGAGCAATATCAAGAGCTAACATTCGTGATTCGCGTCGTTCATGTTCTCCGTAATTTATCTGTATATCTGTTCTAAACACAATCTCAATTACAGCTCTTTTCGTAGATGCAGGATGTGCAGACTTTACATTGAAAAGAATATTCTTACAGCTTTCCCCTGCGTTACCATTTGAAACTTGCGATGCCGTTGGATAACTTTACGTTGCGTTGAGGTAGGGGAGCCATCCGTCGCGGCGACTGACGATTGAGAAGTTCCAACACTCGTCCATTTCGGAGTGTGTGGAGGTCACTATGCAGCAATCATCAATGTAAAGGCAGTACATAAGCGGCATGCGGCGAGCTATTGCCAGCTCCTCGATTTTGCTCATAAAGCAAATTGCGAGAACTGGCGCTAGTTGCTGACCCATAGCTAGTCCACGTTTCTGGGAATAGTAAGTCCCAGACCACTTGAAGATGTTACATTTCAATCGCTTGTTAGGGTCATGATCCGCGTTTTGCTAACAGGGGAAGGATACTTGTGGATGCCGTAGCCATTCATAATGATTTGTATACCAAAAAATGCGCTTTTGAATGCTAGTTCGTAGACTGCCTTTCATATCTGCGAAACGATAATCTGAATGGAGTTATGATTTTTTTTCATTAAAAAAATTGCGTTCCTGCGGAGGGTCAAAAACATCAATAAAAAATTTTTCTCTCCTTTTCAAATGCTGAGTATGATCCAGATAGTCTAAATAAATATTACAAATATTACTACGTCTAAAATTTTCTTCAGTAGCATCAAACGGTAGGCTAGATCAAATCTGGTGATTTTTACTATCCAAAAGTAGGCTAAATTTTCAAGGAAAAAAGTTCATAACTTTCTTCAAAAGATCGTTTCGCAGATTTCGAGCACAGATTCAGAATCTGCATTCGAAGGCGCATTTTTTGGTATACAAATCATTAGGAACGGCCGCGGCATCCAACTATCCTTCCCTTGTAAGTCCGAACATACTTATGGTACTGGCATGTCTATCCAACATTTCCGACAACGCTTGCAAGGCTTGATCATTCTGTACATTCGTGTAAAGCGAAGTCACATCAAATGACTCGATCACACTGTTCGAATCAAGCTTGGCTTTCTGGAGCTGTTCGATAAATCCACGGGAGTTGGATAAATGTGCTGGTACCTTCGCTAGCAATTGACTCACTATTTTGTTCAGAAACCACGATATTCTGTAGGTGGGTCCCCCAAAGCAGCTGATGATTGGTCTTATTTTGTAAGTATCCTCCGACATCGAGGTGACTTCGTGCAAGGAGAGCTTGTGCGTCTTGATGTCAGGCTGTAAAAGACTGGACAAGTCGGATGTTCAAGCCTCAACCTACCTATGAATCTGTCGCTGAGTCCGGCAAATTTTCCTATCGCGGTCCATGCATTGTTCAGTATTTTACACTGGGCTTGAAATTCTTTCTTAGAAATTACGCTGTATATAGTTGTGTCCGCAAAATGAGCTGCTGTCATGCCATGATCTGATTCTTGAGGTACTATTACAAAATCATCACCCTTATCGCTCACTGACAAGCGTACGGAGCCGTTCGAAATGAGTTCACAAATCTCTATGAAGCCTTGCCACCGACTTCGCGACAAATTGGTCTGGTGTTGTCCTCTAAAATTGTTCAAAACGTCTAGGACTCCAGAAGACAAGAGACGAAACTTTTTGTCAACGTCGAAAACAGGTTCAGGTTGTTTACAAAGCGATAAAGGGAAGGGAATTGTCGGGAGCAAGTTATCAGCAGGGTCAAGCAAGGGGTATGGCACACGATCGCTGGTTACGACCCCCCCCCCCTCCCCCGATTGCTGCCTTAATGAGACCCCCCTGAATTATATACCTAAGATAGCATTACCTGAAGACCCTGTCAAACATAATGGGTAACATATCCATAATGAGCATGTCAATTAAACCCTGTAGACAAAGTTTGAGCGAATTTTGAAGATTCAAGATACTAGGCTACCTAAGTGAAATGGTCATTTTCCAAAATGGTTAACTTTGTTTCAAAGGTGAATTAGCTATCCGCTTTTGCACTCAAGACAAAGCACTATTCCTTCTTTGTCCATCTCAGAAATCCCGCTTCAAAAGATCTCCAAACTGTGGAATTAGAAGCCAACAAAAATCTCATTTTTCCCATTTTTCGCTTTTAATGGCTGTGCTTTTACCAAATATTACTCAGAACTAAGAAGACGAATCAGGTTCCATAGGAATGTTTTAAGCCTGATTCGTCTTCTTAGCTCTGAGTAATATTTGGTGAAAGCACAGCCATTAAAGGCAGTGGCTCGGCAAATCTCAACCTAGTCAAGTTTGCGCTTACCTGGGGTTTTTCAATACGCTGATCCCGAAAATCCACTTTTAAAAGCTTGAAAACGGCGAAAATGAGCGTTTTTCAATGCCTTTCCCTTTGATATTGGACGAGTGGAGCAAGGCCGATGACGCTAAATCGTGGCAGGACCCAATGGTTATAGCGTTGCGGCGGGCAGCCTCTAATGGTGAGAAGGAAATTGCCAACTCGTCCAGATGCGTGTAAGATTGGCCTGCGCGTGTAAGTTCGAGAGCGATTTTCTCGGCAGGGAAAGCATGCTGTGCAACCGGGATTGCACTGTTTTCTTAGTTGGGCGATAAGGAACCTACCGCGTTAAAATCTCGAGTTGTTGGATTTTGCCGATCCACTGCCTTTAAAAGCGAAAAATGGGAAAATGAGATTTTGGTTGGCTTCTAATTCCACAGTTTGGAGGTCTTTTGAAGCGGGATTTCTGAGATGGACAGAGAAGGAGCAGTGCATTGTCTTGAGTGCAAAAACGGATAGCTAATTCACCTTTGAAACAAAGTTAATCACGTTGGAAAATGACCATTTCACTTAGGTAGCCTCGTATCTTGAATCTTCAGA